AGAATTAATGACTTAATTGAGAGGGAGAGGGATGAAAAGAGAAGTCAGGAACGACACACTAAAAAGAATGTAAGTTTTTTTGGGGGGAAGAGATTGGAGAATTGAAATCAGTTTTGAACAGTTAAATATGAGGAGACTTTAGACTCTAGGTGGAGTCATTCCATTAGCAGTCAAAAAAGGATGGTGATAAGGGAGTCATTAGCATAACCACAATAACCAATCATGATTGATAGTGACTAAGGGTAAAAAAGTCAACTAGACTTGAGAAGACAATCAAGGATAGACCACAATTAAAAAGATAGGCAGAATATGAAAAGATCTGGGTATGATGGTGTGCACCTATAATCTAAGTGACTGGAGAGGGTGAGGCAATTTAGTGATACCCTGTCCCAAAATAAAAAAAATAAAAGGCCTGGGGTGTAGCACCACCACCATCACCACCAACAAAAAGGGCAATCTAAGAGGGAAGAGAAAAACAATAACACTGAATGATATTTGATAATTTTTGCTTAAAGGAATTTTCTCTACTTTTTAGTAATCATTTACTATTTTTAATAAAATATTTAATTTAAAAATGATTGATATTCTATGACTTGCAACCATGCATTTTTCCACATACAATATGTGAAAATGAAACAAAGTTTTATGATTTTCTGACCTATCCCAAAGTCACTCATGATTCACACAATTTAATTTAACTGAATTATTRGTGTCTATAACTAGTTATTTTCTTTTCCAAACCATTTTTAAAGTGCCATCCTCAACACTACTGCAAACCATCTGTAACTTAACTTTGCCAGCCTGCTCAGATATCTGTCTCCCTCTTGGGAAGCCCATCCCACACTAAATCAATAACTGAGGAAACAACTGCTCTTAAAATGTAATGACTTACAGCTCTAAAAAAGACTTTTGAGTATTTGTTTATTCTAGGTTAAAACAAATCTATCACTAGTATTGCATAGAGAAAAAGATAACAGGGGCTGAGGATGTGGCTCAAGCGGCAGCKCGCTTGCCTGGCATGCGCTGGGTGCTGGGTTCAATCCTCAGCACCACATAAAAATAAAGTTGTTGTGTCCGCTGAAAACTAAAAAATAAATATTAAAAAATTCTCTCTTTAAAAAAAAAACAGCTTTGACCCATATAATCTATATAAGTAGACATATATTCACATTTGCTATATGATCAGTTATACATTTCTTATTTAATAATTACTTCAAAACTGTATGATATTTCACTTCCACCTTTTCAAAAAGTCTCTCATTAACCTCAAAAAATCCTAAGATTACGTTATTAGAAAACATTTTAAGCTCTCAAGAGACATTTATATTTAGAAAAGGAGTAAAACATGGGTCCTATTCCTATTTCTAGGCGAAGACTCCAACTCATTAGGATTTTCTTTCTTTTTTTGTGGGGGGGGGGCGGAGGGGAGGTGTTACCAGGGATTGAATTCACGGGCACTCAACCACTGAGCCACATCCCCAGTACTATTCTGTAGTTTAAATATTTAGAGACAGGGTCTTTGCACCTTGCGGTTGCTGAGGCTGGCTTTGAACTTGCAATTCTCCTTAGCCTTCAAGTCACTGGGATTACAGGTGTGAGCCACTGCGCCTCGCTAGGAAATTTTTATTAATAAGTAATAAATTAACTCAGCAATTCTAAATTAATGCATGACTTTATTACTGATTTTTGAGGTTAAATAGAAACAAAATTGTTTATATGGCCCTTTAAAATACTGTTTATTGTCCACAAGAAAGGTTTTTCTCATCCAAAGTCTCCCCTTCACACACATGGATTGAACCCAAGGGTGCTTTACTATTGTGCTATATCCTAAACCCATTTTATCTTTTTATTCTGAGACAGTGTCTTACTAAATTGCCCAGTCTGGTCTGGATTGTGAAATCCTCAGCCACTCAAGTTGCTGGATTACAGATGTGTACCACCAAACCTGCCTTCCAGCGGATTTTATTATTTATTTCATTTCAAAATGTCTTATGTTGTTTTTACCTAGCAAAAGAAGATTCTCATTTTTAAGCTAAAAGGTAAAATGTTACCCTAAATATTGCTCTGAAAAATTTTTAAGTTGACAATTATAACTATATTTTGTTAATTTAAACCTTGACTCTTAAAATCTAAATAACTGCTTATTTTAAATTAGTTCCAAGCTGTGAGTTTACCAAAATGAAGAATGATAACAAGTCTGCTGTTCCTATTCTAAAACTTGAGGGAAGCAAAAAAATGAGACAAATGTTGTCACTATAATACTTTTCTAAAAAGCCAAAAAAAAAATTTTTTTTTTGGAGTGCTGGGAATCTAACCCAGGGCCTCACACATGCTAGACAAGCATTATTCCACTGAATTACATCCCCAGCCCCAAAAGTAAAATTTCAATCAATGCATACATAAAATAGTATTGTGAAGCTCCTTTATTTCTTCAAGAGACCCACAATTTATTTAGCAGCCATGCATTTTTCTAAAATATTGACAAAAAAACACAACAGAGACTTATGAAACTGGTATTAAATGAAGTGGTTTTTTTTCTTACACTAGTCTCAAATTTCAAATTCATAAATATATAGTTAGGTAATTTCACTTAGGAGTTTTAGCACCATTTGACAGGTATCACCAGGGTGGGTGGGTATTTGAGAAAATATGTAAGGAAAAAACTTTCATTTTTCATAAATAAGCAATCTCAACATATTTATAATCAGAATTATTTTTAAGTATTTCCTTTGAAATGTAAGAAATCAATGTTTCAACTATGTTGGAAAGAGTTTTAAGGTTCAGAGATTATATCAAAAAATGTTGGAATCATTGTACATATTTGTCTTTTCTGAATCCACATAGATCTATAGATTTCTCATCTGTAAAATGAAGCATTTGAACAGAAAAATGATCTATCCCTACCAAGTCTTCTGGTACTTATTCTTGTGACTAAGTCATATGCTTTTTTTAATCAAAAAATAAAACTCCAATGTCATTAAAATATATTTTAGAAAACTTTTTAACCCATTAAGGACTTCAAAGATACTTTACAGAAACAAGCCAACCATTTTATATCTGAATAAAAAGACATCAGTAGCAACTGCACAAAGCACAGAGTTCTGATTTTATGTGAAATCAGAATATTAAATCTCTAATTTAAGATCACTTTAGTATAATTAGATTTTATTTCAAATCTAAACTTCTGTTATGAAGTTCATGGTCACTGTATTATTTGAATCTTTTTTCTGGCTTATAAGTGTGCCAAAATTAATCTTGTTTTTCCTTTATATACGAAAAACACATTTTCTTACCATTGTCTTTATATAGGTTTCATTAAAAAAAAAAAAAACCCTTCTCAAATGGGAAATAATCAGGGTTGTACTAAACTAATGATTCTTTTTTGGACATTCTCCAATGTTTAAATTTGTTTTCCTTCAATTTTGTAACCACATTTGTAAATGTAAAAATTAAATATCAAAATATTACTAGTCTGATGCTGAAATAAATTCTTTCACTTTGGTAAATATTTCCATTTTAAGCAAAAGCATTAATTGTCTTTAGTATAAAAAATGACCTTCCAAAAGGTCTTTTCTATGACAGTTCACAAAGACTAGAAACACTCAGACATTAATGCTGTTTATCCCTGAGTGGTAGTATTACACGCCATTTTATTTTTTACATTTCCCAAAAAGGATTATTCCCTTGGTAATCGAAAAGTATATTTAAATTAAATTTTAGACAGCTCATAAGGTATGAGACATCAACACAGTGTACTTTTACAGGAGATTTGCTAATTACTTTTTTTCTCTTTGATAAACTGCTGCTTTAAGAGGAGAATGATTTGATCAGGTGTCTATTAGGCTGAATGAAGACAAAACAGGTTTATATTCCAGATCCTTCTTTCATTTAGGCTTTTGAGAAAATCCAAGAAGTGAATTCGAACTTAATTGCCATGCATCTGGCAGTAGTAAACTTTTTGGATGGTCAGAGTAACACCTTTCATTACAACCATTAGCTGAATGGCAAAAGACTCTCAGGTTTACCAATGGTTTCAGAGACTTCTTAGTGTTCTCCTCTGTCATTATTTCAGAACAATTCCATTTAAAAGAAACGCAATTGTAAATCGTTTCTATTTCAAGCCTATGAAAACCAGAATTAGGATGAAAGGCAAAGCCTTGACCTTTCTATTTTAGACTTTCATCTGTGTAGCTAAGCCATCTGCTTTCCCCCATCTCCCACCCCATCTACTTAATGAACTGAAAATACTACACCTAATTGCAGTGTTATCAAACCAGCCTGCCTTTTCCATTTTAACGAATTACGACTTTCACCTGAAGATTGGCTTGGTAAAATTTTATTTACGCTTCCTTACCTCCCGCCTCAATTATGAGCTGTCAAATGTCTCAACTAAGATACTAGGCTCCCTTGTATTAAGCCATCTAAAGAGCTCCTCACTTTCAACATAGAGCGCCTAACGGAAAATCTACGAGTCTCTCCTCATCTGGATATGGGGCCGGTATTATCATTGTTGTTGCGGTTACGCAGGAGGCACCTAGCAGATCAGCCTGGAAAGGAGTCGCGCCTCTGTAAAGCCAAACCAGGGACCCAACCCGGGGAAAGACTGACTGAGATGGGAGGAAACCTCCAGAAAGAAGGGAGCCGAGAATTAAGAGGGCTCAAGATTGGAGAAAAGACCTTCCGAGGCAAGAACAGAAAAGGGTGTGTGAAGTGGAGCAAGAACCTGGCAGCAGAGGCGAAGGAGGAAGAAGGGGCCAGAGGCCCGCGGAAGGGCCGGGAGAGCGCCTCCAGGACCGGGTAGGAGACATAGGAACCCAGGCAGGCGTGGGCAGCTCGCAGCCCACCGACCGAGTCCGAGCAGCGGGGGCGTTTTCAGCGGCGGTAGCTGCGGTTTCGGGATTGAACAGAAAAGATAGCAATTTGAGAGACCGAGGAAGCCTCGTCCGAGGCCGGCGCGACGGGGACAGCGGGCCCACCCCAGTTGAGCCCCGCTACTTAACTATTTGTAGAGCTGCTGCAGGCACAGGTCCAGGCTCTCGCCCTCCACCTCCTCACGGGTGATGCGCTCCGACAGCGGTCGCGGGAGCGGGGGCAGCGGCGGCAGCTGGGGCTGCGGCGGCGGTTGCACGGCCGAGTGCCCCGGGGCTGCCTCCTCCTCCTCCTCCTCCTCGCCCTCAGCCGCCGCCACCGCCTCCGCCTCCTCCTCAACCGCCTCCTCTTCGGGCTCTGGGTCTTGCTCCTGTTCTCCCTCCTCCGTTGGGTTTACTGTGGCCGACTCCTCCCCGGGATCCTCGACCGAAGCTTCGGTCGCCTCAGCTGCTACCAGTTCAGGTTCGGGCTCAGACTCAGGTTCAGGCTCTGGCTCGCCCCCGCCGCAAGGACCACGAAACTCGCCCAGGAATAGCTCCAGGAAGCGCCGGTAAGTTTTCTCTTCTGGGCTGCAGCCGGCCATCGCTGTTCATGCCCCGAGACCGACCCGGAAGGGAGTGAAGGAAACCCAAGAAGGGGAGGGGGCTGCTTTTGAGCCTCAGGCTCCCGCTACGACGTTTAACGGCCGCACCGGCACGAGCGATCAGCACCAGGTTGCCTGGAGAGGGCTCCCGCAGGCGTGCGCGCCGCCGAGCGTGGACGTGCGCGGCCCGGGGGCGGGGGCGGAGCGCGCCGCCCCTCTCAGGTCTGGAGGGAAAGTTGGTGGCGAGCGCGCGCAGGGTCCAGCGGCGGCCCACCCTCTATCCCTACCGAGAGCTCAGCCCACGCTACCTAGAGACTGTCGCCATGGCAACCGGTTCTAATTAAGAATTTCAGGGTCCCTCCCGTCGAGTCCGCCGAGTCAATAAGGACATTGGATGTGTTTGCTGTCCAACTCTTTTGTTTTTATTGATTGGAGACCCTTGCCTCACTTTAAGAGTGAACTAAGATGTCTCCAAATCTAGCTGTTGGTTCCCACTTGAATTGCATTTACTTCAGTTTTTCCTTATTCGTTCCAGATGCCACCACTTTGTGAACACCTTTTGTTGATGACAGTCACTGATCAAGTAGGGAGAAGATGGGGCCCCAGGAATACCTAAGAAGTTGTAGCTTACTTTGCACAAGCTTTCTCATTTGATTCTGTGTTGTTATCCTCTTTGCTCAAAAACAATGAAAATGAAAATGAAGATAGTAACTTAGTTGCTCTAGGTCTCAAAACTTTTAGCTATGGCATTAGAATTAGATCGATCGTTAATTTACAATGCCTTTTAGACCCCTTTTCTCTGAAAAGTCAATAGGGCATGGTGTCCATATTTGCCTTATTTGTATAGGGCTTTGCAGTTTGTAAGTTGTTTCCATCCCTTTAACCCTTAACACACTCCTTTGAGGTGGAAGACATTACCATTATGATTCTTTTTTTATAGATGAGGAAACCAAGCCTTGAAGACATGGTGACTTTGCTCAAGGTCACAAGCAAGTGATGCAACATGGACTCAATCATGATTGATTTCACCCATTGCTTTTCTATCACACCAAGATGCCCCTCTTCAGTTACTGCATAATGCATATTACACTGTTTTACATAATATGTATTTTTATATTTTGTTTGTTCTTCCCCATCCCCTCCTGTGTCTTTTTTCTTAAGTTGGAACTGAAACTACTTTAAATGATTCTAATTTTCTTACCAAACTACACACAAACCTATTATTTTCAAGCCTTACTGAGGGGGGGTGGAAGAGGGAGAAGCTGTGCTGTTATACAGCTGTATAGATGATAGCATCATTACTGCATACTTCCATGTCCATGGCAACATATAATTCAGCTAACAGTAGTTCTTTCTCTACTTTGAAAAACATGGTCTCACAAATTATCCACCTCATCCACTCCATTTATTGTTTGTTTCTGGGTTTCAGTTGGATTTAGGGTCTGAAATACCATTTTCAGTCAGTTATTAATGGCAGAAGAAGGAGTCTCCTTGCCAACTGTTTTCATGTAATACTGTATTCTAAATCCCTGACCTGATGCTGTTATTTTAAGATTAAGTGGGTTGAGCTCACTAATGTACATTATGGCATCATGTAAAATAGAGTTCCATGCTTTTTCCTAGCTTAAGATTAAATTTATGATACAAAGTATACAGTGAGTAATGCACTTGAGTTCTCTATATTTATTTTTAAAGGTAGATGGAAAGACCCAATAAGTCTGTTTCCAGACATGCTAAATGTATTTATGTGTGTTTTGTTTAAAACATCACCAGTGTAAAGCAACTTCTCTGTGAGATGCCAAGAAAGCCTTTAAACTCATTTGTCTTTGTTTTCAATCCACCTGTTCATTTCCATTTCAAATGTCTACGAAAGATTGACAAAACTTTTTAGGCTGCAAACCTAAATGTCCACAGTTTTACATTCCAACCACTGTTAATATCTCAGAATTTGACATAATGACATTCAGTTCAAGAGTACATAGCTGTCAACTGTAACAATTCATATCAAACTACACCTTCCTGCTTCCTAATGTAGTTGCCTCCCTCATCTAGATGACATTTGTGACATTAATCTTATGAGTCAACCCACATATCAAAGGGAAATGATATATGTTGGTGAAACATTACTTCTAAGAGTAAAAGAAAAAGCCCACATCTCTTCATTACTAAAAATGAGAGGCGTGTTTGCTTTAAAAGATCAATATGGATCCTGTTGCATCCATTTGACAAAGCAGCTTTGCTCGAAGATTCCTGAGAACAGTGCTAGGATCTAAGAGCAGCTATGTAGGATAATTTTACCACTATCAAGAAGTCTTGTGGGACTGGGTGGCTGTAATGCCAGTGACTCGGGAGGCTGACACAGGAGGATCACAAGTTCAAAGCCAGCCTCAGCAACTTAGCAAGGCCCTAAGCAACCTAGCGAGACCCTGTCTCAAAATAAAAATTAAAAGGGCTTGGGATGTGGCTCAGTAGTTGAGTGCCCCTGGGTTCAATTTCTAGTTCAAAAATTTAAAATTAAAAAAAATTAAAAGCCTGTTTTATCTGTTTATAGGCAAAAACAGAAATACTATTTTCAAAAGTCCCCTCAATTTTCATGTTGCTAATTGCAAAAAGCATTGATATGAAGCTAAAACCATGTCTCAAGTAGTAACTTAAATGTTTTAAAATACTAGAGTTTTATATTTTTAAGTTACAATAAAACACATATACCTCATGTCCAGTGGCCTACAGATCAATGCCTATGCAAATATTTTAAGGCTAGGCCTAATGATGAATGTGAAGTAGAAATATAAAAATGTGTATTTTAAAATCCATATTTGAAAACTGAAGGAGGAAGACTGGGGTACAGCTCAGTAGCAGAATGCTTGCTTAGCATGCATGAGACCCTGGGTTCAACCTCTACCTCCACAAAAACAAACTGAAGGATAACTAATATATCACTTTTAAAATATTAATTTAGCTAGTTGTATTAATCCCAGAGCCTCCAGAGGTTGAGGCTCTTAGCAATTTAGGAGACCATCTCTGAAAATCGAAAGGGCTAGGGATGTCACTCAGTAGTAAGCACCCCTGGAGTGTTTAGTACCCCAGTACGGGGGGGGGGGGGGGGGACTGTGGTCAAACTGATTAGTAGGGAGCAACAGAATATCTGGCCACTGAAAAACCAACTGAGCAAATAGAAATGTTTTAAATTGGAAACTTCCTGCTCTGATTCCCAAACCAATTGTATATGGTGGGTTTTTTTGTTTTTGTAATACTGGGGATTAAACCTAGGGGTGCTCAATCATTGAGCTATATCCCTAACTTTTGAAATTTTTTGACACAGTCTAAGTTGCTAAGGCTCACCTCTAACCTGCAATCATACTGCCTCAGCCTCAGCCTCCTGAGTTGCTGGGATTACAAGTGTGCGCAACCACACCCAACAATAATATAATTTTTAAATCATCCCCACATACTTGCAAAAACATCACTGCTATAATTTATTACTTTTCTATTGCTGGATAATATGATCAAATTACAGGCAACTGTTCAAAAATTAAAGATCTCTTCCAGTATTAATAGGTCCACATGTACTAAATTTCACTAATTTCTAACCTTTTCCTTAAAGTTTTAACCATTAATAACGCTTTTTCTTGGGGCTGGGGTTGTGGCTCAGTGGTAGAGTCCTCGCCTAATACGTGTGAGGCATTGGGTTTGATCCTCAAGGCCACAAAAAAATAAATAAATAAAATAGAGGTACTGTGTCCAACTACAACTAAAAAAAAAATAACAATTTTTATTATCTTATGTAGTTGTTTGAACAATAAAAACTATTTTTGTACTTTTTATGATATCCTTACAAAAGAGGAAGGCAGCAAGGGTTGATGGTAATTTGATGATGGTACCATAAATGGCTAACATATGACATGTTCCTTCTATAATGAATGACTTTTCTAAGAGCTGGGGAGATATCTCAGTTGGYAGACTGCTTCCCTCAAATGAACTAGGCCCACGGTTCAATCCCCAGCACCAAAAACAAACAAAAAAAAAGAAACAACAACAACAAAAAAGTTAATGGATATAATGAATGACTTTTCTAAGGTGAACTGAGTGAAAAAAAATCTGTCAATATTTTGCTACTAGTTTTCACTTTATAAAAATCAGAAAATGGTAAAAATTTACCTTTATTATCACCTAATTTTTAATTATTTTTTACGTAGAATAAATATATGTAAGCATTCAGAATGATATTGATCATTTCCCTATTCTAGTCAGCAGATGACTAGAGCAAATGAAAACAAAAAACCCAGCTGCTTTTTTAAATAAAAATTTAACAGGCAACTAAATGTGAAAACTGTTCACAAAGGTGTTTTCCATGCTTAGATAGTAATGAATACTTTATTCTTAGTTGAGCTGATGGAATTGAGCCATAATGACATTTGTGACTCGAAGGGAAGATGGAAATGATTCCATTAACCTAGAGTGCGGTAACATATGGTAATCATAGGTGGTAGAAGAGCTGTGTTGGACAAGGGTAGAAGTAAGCCATGTGGCACAGACATTATCAATTACCACACATGGTAACCATGCTGACTTAATGTATCGTTTCCAGAAAGGAAATGATTTGGGCATATGAAGTGGTTTGCAGCCTTGTGAAGGAGTAATCTATAAATGACATATCTGGCACCAATACAGCACACATGGTTTCCAATAATTCTGCATGAGGATTAAGATTTGATGAGACTCAACTGGTCATAATAGTGCATACCTGAAATCCTAGCAACTCAGGAAGCTAAAGAAGGAGGAACCCAAGTTTGAGGCCTGCCCTGGTAACTTGGCAAAACTGTCTCAAAATAAAATAGGGTTGCTCAGTGGCAAAGCACCCCTGGGTTCAATCCCTTGTACCCCCAACCAAAAAAAAAAAATTGATGAATCTCTATACCAAATAACAATACATCAGTTATTTGCACAAAGGCAGCAAATCAAAATATGTATGCAAAACACTTGGGTCTTTCACACGTAAA